GTACAGTATAGTATAATGTAGTATTGTGTAGTGTAGTGTAGTATAGTGTAGTCTAGTAAAATATGTACAGTACAGTGTAGTGTAGTAAAATATAGTACAGTATATTGTATTGTAGTGTAGTATAGTGTAGTCTAGTAAAATATGTACAGTACAGTGTAGTGTAGTAAAATATAGTACAGTATATTGTATTGTAGTGTAGTATAGTGTAGTGTAGTATAGTTTAGTGTGGTATAGTAAAATATGTACAGTATAGTCTAGTTTAGTAAAATATAGTACAGTATAGTGTAGTGTGGTGTAGTGTAGTGTAGTGTAGTAAGACCATGTAGTCCAGGTGAGCTATAAGACTTTATTAACTATGAAAATTGTTCCATAACGCTCATATTGGAAAAGTTTTTGAGCTATAGTTGAAATCAGGACATAAGCCATTATGCCACAAAGAGGGAAAGTGGTAGTACGAGGAAGTAGGTGCATGCAACGGAGCATATTCATTTTACTGAGGCAGCAAATCATTTTTCAGCATGACATGCTGGCTCATGGTTCTCGCTTTACTCTTTTCTTAAAATAAATAAATAAATGACACATGGACCCGTTTTAGTTTGAAAACCCAATGAGAACTAGGGCGTAAATTTGAGCAATTTGAAACAAAGTCACATTTTATGGCCAGAAATGTAACAGTTTTTGGTCTAATCCTTGAATTTTTCTTTTCAACAAGACAGACAAAAATAACTAAAAGAGGTGGGTGTTATATATGTATATGCAGAAACCTATTTGAATGGTGGAACACCATTCTATCTGAAATATACTCCCTCATGAGGTGTTTTGCCTGACGTCAATGTTTCTGCTGATGGAGGTGGAGAGCGCCGTGTAACACGTCATCATAATCCTGAAAGAAGACCCCTCTCATGAGGGTGGAGAAGTTTGATCAGAGGATATGATGACTCAGAACAACTTGTACTGATCTGCAGTCTCTCTTCTTGAACACCTGCAGAATGACGGATCATCAAATCCCGTCATTGTAAAGTGTTTTCTTTTGGTTTACCACCGTTGTTTTTAATGAATGTTGTGTTACAGTATCCTCATATCTCTCAGGCATGTACTCTGGGCTTGCCTGTAACGCACAGAGTCCTATTTTTAAACTGTTTCTGAGAAGTATCCTGTGCTTCATGTTGCTTGCCAACTCCCACCTAATGTCACTTTCCACTCTCAATCCAGCAAACTACGATCAGGATCACTGATCATTATCAGTTTCAGATCTTTTCACGTACATTAAAGTTGAGGATGTTTTTTTTTTATTCGTAGATTGGTTGTTTTTGTCTTCAAAAGCTGAACTTAAAACCTGCCCCCCCACCCCCACCCCCCTTTAAATATTCCATCAAATTCATCAAAATCGACCTTCTGTGCTCCTGAACGTCTCATATTTTTGCAGTTTTTGTATCATGTGCAGCTTCTCCCTGATCAGTTGAGCTTGTCTGGTGTCACCTTTAAGAAGGTCACTTCACTGTTTCACTGTTACATGAAAGGACATGAATCAAAACTCAGGCAACAAGAGAAAATATGGTGGGCTTAGACACAAATACACGGTTATACTAAACGTGCGCTGCTCTGCTTTTGTCAGACATCATTTAAAAGATTATTGAGTTAATGAATGCCATGCATTTTTTAACTTAAACTTCATGATGATGTCACAGTTCTGTCATGGGTTAATTCTGTTGTACCAGGAGCCCTTTAACAGGAAACTCCTTTGAATAATTCAAACTTTCTAAGAACATTGTTCAAATAGTAAGAAGACCGACCTCTGAACGACTCTTCAGGCTGCTCCTCTTGGGTCTGAACAGGACATCCTTAAAGTCCAGCTTGAGGTCTGAGTCCACCCGAGGCATCTTGGATGAGCAGGATGAGGAGGATGAATGAAAGGAGGAGACTCGCCTGAGGAAGGCTGCAGCAGCTGTGGCGGTCGCTGGTCCCAAACCTCGGCCACCAAACCCGAACCTGCAGGCGGCCAGCGTATTTATATCAGAGAGGAACCCAGCCCAGTTCTGGCCCCCATGACTTTATTTGGGCCTCAGCTCTCTCTCCCACTCCCCGTCCTTTGACTCCCCCTCTCCTGTTCTCTGGGTTTGCCTTGTCTCTCCTCCAGCAGAGTGGCAGGAGCAGCAGTGCCTGTCCCATTTGCTGACGCACACACACACATACACACACACATACACACACCACCCTAAAAACCAGACACGGAAGTACTGCAGTGGCTTTATGTGCTGCAGTGTGAGGAGCACACCTGCTGTCCAGCTGTGGCATTGCTCCACTCGCTGCTGGAGGACATGAATGTAAGAAAAGGAGCCACAGATACAAGATGTGCTTTTCAAAACTAAAGCAGCACAGGGTGTGGACTGAGGATGTTGATCTTATCCACCGTTCCTTCATTTTCAGGTTGCGTTATGCTTCTGTTGTTTTCCAGCTTTTTAAGTAACTTCTTTTGTCCACGCTTCAATCACAAGAAAAAGTTGAGACGCTTTTAAGGTTTTGCAAATCATTTCAGCTCTGCGTTTGATTAAAAGTGAAAGACCATTGTAAATGTTCACACGGAAAATATATGTCATCTTTTTGTTTTCCCGTCAGCTGCTCCCTTTAGGAGTCTTCACAGCGTCTCCTCTGCCTCCAGCACACCTTGTCCCTAACTCTGTCACTCCGAGTCTCCTTCACTACACAAGTGAACCGTCCTCTGGTGCACCGCCTGTTGCTTTGACGGCTGGTTCTTCAACTCCTCCACCTTCGGTACCTCTGCTCACTACATCGTCACTGTTACACCTGTCCTTTTCTGTCACACATATGCTTTCTATTACTGAGTTTCCCTCAGTGGTGTAGTCTACATATTTGTATTGGGTATACTGCGCTTAGAAACCAAAGTACACTGGTTAGTACACTGCAATCGTCAATTTATTTAGAATTTTAAGCATATTGAACATTTCCAAATTTCTCTGATGCTTAAATTTGAATAAATGAACAACAAAGTTTCTACAACAGTTGGCTTTGTATTAAAAACACGTTATAGAATTTATAAAACTGTATCAAAGTAAAACGCTGCATACCGATAGATTGTTACGGAAGAGTTTAACTGCTGTTTAACGTATCAATGACACGGGTCTATGATATGTCACTGGGCCACTGGGCACTTTTATAGATACACTGAATTTTTTAAAGCTTTTCTAGAGTATCATGTAGATTACACCACTGCTTTCCCTCCTCTTCTCTCCAGATCATCTCTTCACCTCTCTAGGCTCTCTTCCACCTGCTCCCTACACTCACTATAGCTCACAATGTCACCTACAAATATCTTAGTCCATGGGGACTCCTGCCTGAGCTTGGTTAGTCAACATTTCAAACACAAAGTAGCTGATCTGAGAACTAAGGCAGGATCCTTGCTGATTTAGATGGATGTTAACAATATTTTTCAAATCAGCTGGTTCAGAGGAAGAGAAGTAGGATTAAGTAAATGTTCCAACATAATTTGGTTGATTGGAACAAGATCACTTGAAACAGGGCATTCATGAGGGACTTTCACAACTCATAATAGAAGAAGCCTAAATATATACACTTTGTGGACAAAGTGCACAAACATCTAAATGTGGTTGAAATAAAAACACGTGATCAGTTCCTGTCTGTATTACTGACTGCATATTAAATCTTTTAAATTGTTGATGTATTTATGAGCAAAAATAGGAAAAAAGAAAGCAGTATTTTTTTATGTATTTGTAGAATGTGCAACGTTTTATTGAGCTCAATTTAAATATGAAAAAAAAAGCACATTCAATCCAACCTCAATAAAAGACAGAGGACTGAGTAAAAGATTAGATTCTTGTCTAAAGATAAAAGTTGATCATAGTTACTGACACTAATAAATCATTTTGTTTTTATTATCAAACAGTTTGGGCAATGCAAATAAAAATGACAAATACTGTGGTGAAATAAATTTTAAAAAATCATTATAAAAAGCATTGCATAAACTCCATTTCAGGATCACAACAAAGACTCTTTCAGATTACCAAGACTATTATTATTCTATTTAAAATATTTACAACTTTTTTTTTTTTTTACTTGAATCATATCCAAAAGAATAAGGTCCTTTTGCTTTTCTGGATATTTTGTATGTAAAAAGAATAAAAGTCAGTAATTCAGGGTTTGACCACTAGATGTCAGCAGAGTTACAGAAACTGCAGCTAAATAAACCCCAGAAGTGTTTCCTGGCAACAAGATGTCTCTTCAGAGTGTCTGCAGGGCTGGAATTACCCAGAGTTTATATTGATGCGAAGAAAAATAAAATCTAATAGGAGGAGAAAGGCCTTTTTACAACTAAACGTGCTACAAATTCACACAAGACACGTGATTAGCTCATATAGATGGATTGGAGACAAGATGATGTTGCAGCTGATGCAGAGGAAGTTTCATTTACTTGTTTTTATTTCATCTCCTGCAGAATAAACAGGAAGTGGTGTCTGATTGGGCTGTTGTCATTTTACAATCAGTCTCTGAAAAGTAACTAGAGGTCATCTAGATCTGGCTCAGTAACATTTAAAACGCGTTCAAATGTAGCAAAGGAAATGCTATTTTAAGTACAGCATTCTGAGACCTTTTGAAACTTTTTTTTTTTTGCATTAGTCTTTCTTAGAAACATGAAATGTAACGCTTTTTCAAGAATGCACTTTCTTTTTTTTTTTGATCTCCATGTGTGATTATCAATCCTGTGCAAAGTTACAATTTTATTAAACCTTGTCTGGAGGATACGCATCAGTTCAGCTGCAGCCGTGCTGCATCTCCACAGTTCTGATAAGATTTGATTAAAGCAGAGTTCTGAGATAAGCCTGTCCTAGAGTTAATAAAGTCGTTGCTCTTTGACCTACTGCGTGTCGCTTTTTACTGTACTGATAAGACCTGCTGAGTAAGATCATCTCTTTAAAACTTTTTTTTCCTTCTGCCAACAGTGTTGATAAGAAAGGAACAGTTCTGCTCCGCTGCATACTGGGTGCGTCATGTGTCAACTTGTTGCAGCCATAGCTGGAGCCTCAGGTGCTTTGCTTGTTCCAGGAAGTGTGTGAAAGTGTAACAGGTACGTGAGACATTTTACTGCTTTTTTTTACTCTCAAACACATAAACAAAAGTTACATCTTTTGAAGTTGGGTTGAATGGTTAATATCTTACCTGCTGTAGATAACGCTTTAAATGACCCCTTTTTGGAGAATTGTTTTATTGTTGGCACATCTTAAAACAACTCCTATCCCAAACATTTCCAGACAAATCTTATTTTGTAGACCTTTACATCATCGTCAGTTTCATCTTACGTGGTTATTTACAAAAAGTTTTAGCGCATATAGTAGCAGTACTAGCTAGCTGTAGCACTTCCTGTGCAACCACATGATTGAATATTATATATTATATATGAGTGTAATGCCACTTTAATTGGTGATATGTGACTTTATCCATGCTGCTGATTTCTTGCATTTAAGCTGCTATATTCATACACATCTGCTCACAACAGACTCATGTTCAGGCTGCTGTTTAATACGCCGTATTATTTTACGTTATTATTGTTTAGCGTATATCTTAGATCCTTGTATACTGTTTCTTTTTATACTTTATATTTCTGCTATCGTTGGATGTAACTGGGACCTTGAGTACACAATTCCGTTCCACCTCATGTACCACATGTGATGTGAATGACAATAAAGCAGCTTGAACCTTGAAACTGGTGAAGAAATAGAAGTTTATATAAATATATTTGGAGATCGGAGTCGTTTTAAAACTCAGACTTGTCAGTCTAGTCAGAATTAAAGTTTATTTCCCCAAAGTGAGGCTGTTCGATGAGCTATCTACAACAGGTAAGATATTAGCTGTTTAAAACTCTTCCACAGAACACCACTTTAAAAGATCTGAACTACATCTTGGATTTTTAGAGGCCAAAGTCTACCGTAAAATAAACCTGTGCTCATTGCAGCTTTTTAAAAATACTTTTTTAAATCACGTGACAAGCAATATCTGAACAGTCTGGAAAGCAAGCAGCCAAAACATTCTTATCTGAACACCATACCTCAACAAAAAAAAGTTTTATAAATCTTTTATTTATTTATTTATTTATTTATTTTTTGCTCGGGTGCGTTCTTTGATATGAAAAACACCAAACTTGAATGCTTTAACTATACAAACATCAGTGACAGCATTTTCCTCTGAATTGTTCATTAAATCTTCATCATCTGCTTCAACTTGTCAAAGATTTGCTCATAAAAATGCATGTTCTTGCTATTAACTACAACCGCACATGGAAATGATATGAGAGAAGACCAACTTGCTGCTTCCTTAAAGCAAAATGCTCTCCCTTTTTTATTTTTTATTTTTACTGTTTCCTAGAGAACCCATGCATGCAGGAGTCAAGACCGTCTCACCAGCTGACAATGTTGAAGAGGAGAACTCGCCCAAAAAAACATCCAAACGGTCCAGAGGACCAGATTGAACTTTTTTGGATCCAAACGAGGTGTTTCCATTTGGCTGCGTGTCGCTGCGATGAGCAGATGGGAAAAGCACATGGTGGTGGGAGGGTGAGGATCTTTGATGTTCTTCTTGGCACAAGTTAAATGATAAGAACTTAAAATTTTTATCAGCTTCTATCATCAGGTGTAGGATGAGGAGTATGCACCGTTCCACTGAGAGAAGGCACAAAAAAAACTTCTGCACCAGGTTTTTCCACAAAGTATAAAATGATAAATCTACAAAACCTTGTGCAAATGTAAATATAAAGTTTGACTCATGCAGCTAATGTCCCTCACTACACAAAATCCTTACATTTAGTTTTGCTCAATTGAACCAAAAGTAAATTTTTATGATTACAAGGTGAAATTCTTGCATGTGCTCAGATTACAACTAAACCAAGTCATGAATTGCAGCTGTCTCTGTAACAAAAGGGACTTTCTGCACAACTGCACATTGATTTACAATCATTATAAGAACAGCTGAGGCACAGATTCTTCGACATAGAGCCGTTCTGAAGGGGTGTGGGTCACCGTTTTATAATTGAATATATTTTCTAACAGGAAAAGTATTCAGAGGTCTGTTTGCGTCATCGCTGCATCCTCCTGTCAGCTAGATCTTCATTAAAGCATCTTCCTGTGTTTCTCCTGCCGTTTTTATTTATGTCCACAATCTCAACAGTTTATAGTTTTGATTTGGAGACACTGAATCTGGCAGAAGCTCTTCCTGCAGCAGTTAGAAAACAGGAACCCACTGAATGTTTTGGCCTTGAATGTCTTTTTTAAAAAAATTTTTACCGTCTGGTTTAAGCAGTGCAAAAAAGCCCAGATGAGCAGAAAACAGACTTCTTAGACAAAAACAACTACTTTAATTTACAATATGGTCAAAGGGCTTGTCTTTCACTGATGTGAACAATGTTCTGTCTAAATGCAGACCACGCTTTGAGCGCTAAAGTTCACAGAAGACGTTATTATCTCACAGTTGAATGCTGTGAAACGGTAGGGAACTAAGCAGACAACTCCCAGATCTGACCGAGTCATTGAAGGCATCGTTCAAATCTGGAGGATAATTTGATTGGAAAGCTGAAAAAGAGGCAGCAGCAGTTAGCTGTAGCACTTCCAGTGCAGCTTGGAGCAGAAATGCATGGTTTATGAAACGGTGTTTTCATGAACTGCCGTGACTGAAGTTGTCTAAAAATAGCACTTTAAGCTTGGGTACACTCAGACTAGCCATTAACTCGTCAATCTGGACAGAATCAAACTGCTTCTCCAAACTGAGGTCATCCAAAGAGCTATCTGCAACAGGTAAGATATTCATTTGCCATGTTTCTACAGATCCCTACTTTAAAAGATCTGAACAACTCCTTGAAGTCATTTTCTTTTACAAGCTGAGATGCTGCGGCACGGTGGATCAGTTGGTAGAGTTGCCACCTCTCAGCAAGAAGGCTGATGGGTCAAATCCTGGCCGGGGGACCTTTCTGGGTGATTAATTGTAATTTTTGTAAAACAAAATAGTTAAAGATTCAAACCTTTTGTGCTCGTTTGTTAATAAACTTCAGGTAACGGACTGGTGCCCAAGTTTAAGAAAGTTTGAATGCAGTTTGGTGCAGTGGTGTAGTCTACATTTTTGTAGTGGGTATAATGTGCTTGGAAACCAAAGTACACCAGTTAGTACAATGCAATCATCAATTTACTTTGCTTTTTAAGTGTATTGAACATTTCCAAATTTCTCTGATGCTTATATTTGAAAAATGTACAAGAAACTTGGCTTTGTATCAAAAACATGTTATATAATTTACAAAACAGTATCAAAGCAAAACATGTTCAAGTACTACGTAGTACAGGATTATACAATAATTCGCTGGATAAGCAAACGTAATAAACAAGCGCTGCATATAGAGGAAGATTGTTACAGAAGCATTTAACTGCTGTTTAACAAATCAATGACATGTGGCTAACGATACGTCATTATTGGGCACTTTTAAGTGTATACTGAAATTCTTGAGCTTTTACTCACGTAGACTACACCACTGGTTTGGTGGAGAGTAAAAAAATTGTCCAATTTATATTTAAATGCTTGAACTAGAAAATAAACTCACCAGGAAACCATTTTGCTGCGTAAAGATTTAAATTTAAATCTGAAAACTTGTCGGTGGATACTTTAGCTACATGCTTGCAGATCGAATTTAACTTTAGTTCTTCTGATAGATCTGCACCAGTGACTACTCAAAGACGACAGCCCTCTCCCTCCCATCAACGTCCTTGGAGTTGGTTTAATGGCACCGATGTCTGAGAGAACAGATAACGAACAAACAGAGGCAGCCTCAGCCAGAAGGTCAGAGAGGGGCTCAGACCAATCAATGGCTTCTATATTTAACTCCAGAACGACTTCCAGGATTTACAGCACAGTCCACTGATGCCTGTCAATTCTAATCAACACAGAGCCTTTTTGTACCACAGGCGGTGGATGTTTGTGCCCACTCGCAGCCTCAAGTGACAAATGACCTTCCAGAGTGTGGTGCACATGTGGCGCTGCAGAGGAGCAGGAAGTGTCCGACTTTTTACAGATCAAGCTCATTCAAGAGATTTTTGAGGGAAATCTGCCTCCTGGAATGAAGGGCAACTAGAGAAACCATCAAATGATCCAAACATTCAGAATTCTAACAGAAAACCCAAAATATGTGATGTTTTTGTAAAAAAAAACAACTTTATTAATACTTTAGTTCAAAGCAGAGTATATAAAAAGTATTTCATTCTATGAGTTACTTTACATAGTGGCATTTGCTTCAGAAAACAGAAACAAACCGCTACTTGTACAAAGTGGAAATAAGCTGTCCCCTGCAGTGACTGAGCTCAAACGTGTCGGCATTAAAGGAGAAAAAAATAATAAATGTTTGCATTAAAACACATTTCTGCTACATTAAATTCATCCAACGTGGAAAACTTCCACAGTAAAGTGGCGACGTCTTTTTGTTTTGTATTAAATAGTCTTTGAATTTAAATAAAACTGAGAATGAAAGCTTGGCAAAAAAAAATAGCAAGTATTGCACTTGTACATCTAGTACCCTTTATAAAAAATATCCAAGAGATTCAACTAGTAAAAACCCAGAGAAAGAAAGTTATCGCTGAATAAGAGGCAGCAGCTGCAGTTATGTGCCAAACCTTAGAGCCTGTTTGTTCGGATGGACATAAATACAAGGTTGAAGCCTTCTATAAGAGGCTAAATGTTTGACAACTCAGTGTTCAAGACCAGCTTTGGAGTTATAGTTTGGGAGTGTCCCTTTGAAGCCTTGGAGACAACAGTTTGACCCCTGTGGACACAAGGGCAAAAACACGTCCTGTATCCGATTAGTATCCAGTGCTCTGCTCAAGAGCAGGACTGCTGAGCCTCTAAATACTCCACTCATTGGCATGGAAAGCACAAAACACGAGAATGAATAAAACACTTAAAAAAAAAAAAAAGTATTCCACTCTATTATAACATACAATTCACAAATCATAATCTTAAAATGTCAAACTTAAAAAAAAATGCCTTCGATCAATATGTGCAGAGCTCTGTTCTATGGTCATTCTAGGAGCAAAGAAGTGATGAAAGCAACGACAAATATAAATTCAAAAGCATAATTCTGGATCAGGTCAACTGATGCAATAATTTAACAACAATATTAAGAGCAACATCTGAAACAAACGAAAGAAAATCCAGCACAGTGGTAGATCTAGAACAAACCAGACGAACTGAACAGAAAGTCAAATCTGAACGAAAAGTCCGAGTGTGTTGATCTTGATTAGGAGTTTCTAGACAAAAAGTATAACGTCAAGTAGCTTCACGGTGTGGAAAGTTGTCCGTCTTTATGTGTGGTAGAGCTTGTGTTCGTAGTCGGAGTTGGAGCAGCTGTGAGGCGAGGCCGGGTCTCTGTGGATGGGTGCGGGGATGCTGCTGCTGCGGAGCTGATGGTTGTCGTTCAGCGTCAGGCTCAGGAGGCTGGTGCAGGTGGGCAGGTAGACGTGCTGCACATGCTCCACGTCCGACCGACACACGGGACACAACTGAGGGAGAGAAGGACGAAAATTGAGGACGACTGTCAGATTTGTTGAATTCTAGAGTAAAACTTAAATCAAGACACTGGGACGATATTAAACCACAGCTTTCACTGGTCTAACTCATCTATAAGATGAGTCGCGTATAGCTGGACTAATGGACACAATTTGCCTGCTGGCTGCTGTAATCCCTTTATACGACACACACACGCACACACACACAGCTTCCACAAAGAAGCAACGTTTAGCTGATTAAGTGTGGGGACAGTCGGGTCATTAGAATTTAAGCTCGGCTTTGGATATTTAAAGGGTCGTAAAAGGATAAGATGATCTAAAGTATAATTAGATTCTATCAGTAAAATGACAGCCTCACAGCACGAGAACGTGTCTCGACTTTAGAGCTGAACGAGCCTGAATTTAAAGCTCTGGGATTCTGAACCAATTGTGTGAATGTTTATGAAGCATTCACACCGTTGTGATCCATTTTTGGTATTGGTGCAACTTTAGCTTTTTGAAACATTTAGCCTTTTCTGTCACTTTTTTCCCCTCATAGAAAATGAAATGCTCATTTTACATCCTCCAGATCCGTTTACAGCCTTTCACTGCTCCCATCACATTTTGTTCTGCTTCAGCTTCTTTGTGCAAATTTAAACTTTTTTTCAGCTACTTTCATCCGTTTTGCTCCTTTCAGGTTCTTTCTGCTAACTACAACACTTTTGTGCTTCCAACTTCTTTCTGCCAATTTCAACTTTTTATGCTCCTTTCAGTTTATTTCTGCAAGTTTCAGCTTTTTCTACCATTTAGCCGTTTTTATGCTAATTTAAGTACTCCCCACTTCATTCTGGTAATTTCAGCTTCTTTTTGCTGTTTTAGCTACTTTTCAGCAGTTTTTTTGTGATAATTGTAGCTTTTTGTTGCCAATTTCAGCTTTTAGAGCTAATTATTTTGGTGCTCATTTCTGCTTATTTAAACCAAATTAAGTAAATATGCGTTCTTTCTGCTTTCTTCAGCTGATTTAGGCTTGTTTTTACATTTTAGCTACATTTCAGCATGTTTTTAGCTAATTTCAGCTGATTTTCAGCAAGTTGTTCAGCCATAAGCATTCACACTGCATTTCACAGGAAATGCAGTTTCTCTAGTTTACTTTCAGTCACTTTCACACATTAGCAGCCATTTCTAGAAATTGACGCCCAGATGAGTATTTATTTTAGCCAAGTGTGCGCGGCGGTCTCACCTGCAGCTGGTTTGCGCAGCTCTGGCAGCACACCATGTGACCGCAGGGGCAGAACGCGGCGTCGATCTCCTCCTCGCAGCACAGCATGCACAACAGAGCCTCTCTGAGCTTCTGCAGCCGCTCCTGCAGGGCCCGGCTCTGCTGGCAGCTGCTGCAGTCCAGCTCCTCCTTGTCCTGCTGGTTGTCTCGATTCGGGGAGTGCAAGGGAGGAGAGCGCTCCCCGCTTTCAGAGCGTTGCACCAAGTCCACGACGCCGGAATTGTAGAGCGCGCGGCGTGCGTGGTCGTACACCTCCTTGGAGGTACGCCTGATGTCGAAGACATACTTTTTGCCCACATTTATGTTTTCGTTGAGGAAAAGGGAAGCCAAGTGGCCCTTAAAGTCTCTGCTGTACTGCATCATCACTGCGTTGGTAACGGTGTCACACCTGGGAATGAAAAACAACATGATTACTGCTCCCATAAACATTTTACCCTGAAAACATCGTATAACAATCATAACATCTGTCAAAAGAAAAGAGGTCGGGGTATGTTTTATATGACGTGTTTAAGGGTTGGAAACAAGTTAATGTGTAAAGAAATCGAAACTATTCTAAAAAGAGCAAACATGTTTTTTATAAGGTTCAGATGAGGTTTTGCACCACGTCCCATATATTAATCTCAAGTATGTGACATTTATAAAGGTTAAAGATTACCAGATCCCTGACAAACATCTGTATAAAATCACACAACTGCTCTGCAGGTCAAAGTGTTCGTTTGCATCGTCTTTACTCAAAACAGTCCAGTGCTCGTCTTGTAGGATTTAATCTTGTGAAACAATTCAGTAAATCCATAACTAGTCTTCACTGTTGGTTCCTTTTCAGGCTGCACACAGATCTAGATTTAAACGCTTCACGTGTTCACCCCTCACCTGTAGAAGGCGTGGGTCTCTGTGATGGCTCGGTACAGACCACTCGCTGCCCGGTTACTGATCAGCTTGAACAAAAGAACCACGCTGTCATTCGTGTCCTTGGTGACCGTCAGATAGACACTTTTCCCCGATTGAGTGGCAATCTGGATGATGGGATAGCTTATTCTAAAAGAAAACAAAACTTGTCATGAAATATTTCTAGACAAGATGTACAGTTTCTAAAACAAACATTTCACTCCTCATTTGTATAACACACCTGTTGACTAAAGTGAAATCCTCCTTGCATATGGCGATCCCCTCGGGGCCGACTCCGATGGCCAGCCTCTGACCATTAGCATCGCGAGCCCAGTGCCACTCCACGCCGTAATGCTCCAGAGAGGAGACCAGCTGCAGCGCCTGGTACTCCACCGAGGCCTGGCTCACACCTTCCAGAGCTTTGTGTCTGCAAATGATACTGCAGGACAAACACAGCCCAAGTTAGCTAAAGCTTAGCGAGCCGTTTGAAATCAATACTTGTGTGAAAGAATGTTGTTAGTTTGTAGATCCTGCAGAAATGACATATCGATCTGCAGGTCGGACTATGAAAACCGTACTGTTGGCTCAATGCAGCACATTTATAAGGAGTTAAATGGGACGTTTCACAGATAAGGCTTGAGGTGTAAGGAATATAACCAGCTCTGTTTGAGAGCAGAGCTGCAGATATGAAAAACACTGCGGTCTAGAAACAGGAAGTAGAAACACTACTGAGGGAAAACAGTACGAGGAATAAGAACAAGGAAGTGGTGTTGACTTATTTTAGAGTAAAATATTCAGTACCGCAAAAGGGTTCCCAGGATTAAAAAAAGAATATTTACCGTCACGTTTGTTTAGGTTTGTTTAGGGAGGAAGCTGTTCGGTTGACAGATCTGGCAGCGAAACTCTAAATGAACGCCATCTAATCTGAAGTCAGCTGCGTTTTGGCTGATCATGGTGTTTGTTTAGTGGCTTTTACACCTTTTTAAATAAAACGATTAAAAAAAAAAAAAAAAAACTTTGGTCCACATGGCTGCCTTTCACCTCAACTTCACAGATTGTTCACTACATGTCTTGAGTTTTTTTGAAATTCTTCCTTTTCTAAATGCAACCTTTGGTTTATCGCCATGATTCAATATTTGTTTTCACTTTTTATCGACAGTGGGCTACTACGTCTTTCACAGAGAGGACCAAAACTTCAGACAAGCTGATAAAATGCCAAACAGCTTCTAAGGCCATGAAGCCTGTAGTCTAATGGTTGTACCTGTTGAGTGTGGAGGTGCTGGGCTCCTCTCCACACAGCTCTGAATACCAGTACTGGGCCGTGTTTTGGTTGTAGTCACCAAACTCTGCCTGCGCCAGGAGAGCACTCAGCTCCTCTGCTTGTTCTGAGCCCATGTGGAGGTGACCGTTGTGGAGGTCCTCCTTCACATGCATGAAGAAGAGGTGTCTGAAAGGACAGGGAAAAGAAGGACATTACTCTTTGCTATTGGTTTGAACAAATAGGAAAAGCGTCTGCATGCACTCGCAGCAGAGGCGAAATCATCACTTTCACCATTTTAGTCACTTCCTCAAAATGTATTTTGTACTTTCTGGCCATTTTTACTAGGAAGCTTTAAAAAGGAACAAGAATATTTAAAACAACATTGAAAATCTCAGTACGTCCTTTGGCAGAAGTGAACCACCAGGCGTGACCTGATCATGTTTAACACATTGCACATTTGTTCACAACAAGGCCGATTACTTCTGCGAGATATATCTCGGAGATTAACGGTGATCAGAGCAACAATTGTTATTGTTCGAGTCGAGTGGTTACAATGAGAACGCAGAGTTCTGGCGTGGTCAAGAAAAACAGCTAGTTGTTCAGGAGAACAGTGGGCCTTTCCATTGTTTTTAACCAGAAGATGTGAGGATTTTTGTTCTTTTACTTCCAGCAGCAGGAGACGATACGTGAATGGAAGCAACACACCGACTGGCTCGATCCTGACGACATGAAAAACACAGGTCTGCAACAACAGGTCCAACACAAGACAGAGTCACTTAAAGACTAATTTTATAATTTCGTCCTGGAACAGCAAACCTGTGTTACAGTCCCCCCACAGTGTCATTTAGATATGATTTTAGGTCTTGCCACCAGATTTTTTTAGTTATTTATTTTTACTTTCCACATCCTGGTGTAGACAGAAAGTGCCTAAAAGAAGGAATCCTCCCCGGGGCTACGGTTCTCTTTGAAGTTTAAATCCAATACAGACATTTTCATTTGTGAAAAATCAGGTCATACTGTGCCTGGAGGATATTCGAAAGAGTTTAGAGGGACATGAAGTGAAGTTTTGACTCGTCGGTTTCGATTTCACGGGGAAGAATGCATCTTGCATCTGACTGATTAAGAAACAATGCAGGCTTGCCTTTTTTCCAGTTATCTATCCTACAGGCTGAACAAGTCCACATATCGTGACAATGCACAGGCAACGTGTATTTCAACGCCTTCAGGAGAGCAACAACACAGACACGCCTCGACCGACCGGCATTCTCTCAGCGCTTCCGAGGAATATCAACAGCATCTGCGAGGCACGCAAACAACATCGGTCTACAGCCGCCCTGGTAAAAACCAGACTGCAACAACGAAGCCCCGTGGTGGACGAGCCTCGGGCATAACAAACAGGCCTTTGATATGGTGTTAAACATCCCATTCCCTCAAACGCACACACAAACAGTGAGCTCTATTGTGTCAGGCCCAGCAGGCGTCATGTGACGGAGCTGCTAGTTAGCTACCTGCCTGACACAAACAATAGGGCCAACCTGACTGGGAGTTTACTCCAGGTCGTTAGTGACGGGTTACTGTCGGGCAATTCGCACGGGTTACTCCAGTTCACTTGGAGATTAGCAAGAGTGGTGGCTATACATCTACATTTAATCTAATCAAACACATAAACTGATCTGTTGGTCTGAACTTGAGATTAATGTGCACATTTAAAGGAACTGAACTTGAGCTGTTCTGTTCATGCTAAATTTTGGAAACAAGCGTCATCAGGGAAAGAATGCATTATAATAAGCTAAACAGCAGGTCAACATGCCCTGGAAGAGACAACTACAGATAACCGATGGCCGTTTCTGCCTGACTTAGACAAAAACGGCGCAGAGGTATTAAATATTCAAGACACTGGAGGCTTCACAAGCAGAAGTTAAAACTCAAGATTTTGTCATCGGGCTGTGTACCGTTACAAAAAACCTCCCTGCACCGCTCATCCATCCATCCATTATCTTTACCCGTTTATTCCATTTTGGGTCACGGGGGTCGCTGGTGCCCATGTCCAGCAATCACTGTGCGAGGGGCGGGGTACACCCTGGACGGGTCGCAAGTCCATCACAGGGCCACATAGAGACAAACGAGACAAACAACCATTCACTCTCTCAC